GCCCCCAATCCCTGACCCCAACAACATCCGGGACTTTGTCAGCTATCCCACCGCGGGCAACGAGAGGCTCCACTGCACCATGAAGCGGGCGGAAGACAGCCCGGAGGCAGGCGGACCCTGCTACACTCTCTACCTGGAATATTTAGGAGGGCTGGTGCCTATTCTCAAAGGAAGGAGGATCAGCAAACTACGGCCTGAGTTCATCATCATGGATCCAAAAACAGACAGCAAAGCAGGTGAGGATATTCACATTGAACTGATAAGAACACAACATATTGTTTTTGGTAGATGTTGCCGAGGTGCATCTGGAATTTTCCAATAAAAAGAAGACATTTTTGGGGAAATATGCTTGTTGTCTTCCTGTAAAATGAGATGAGCTGCTTAGTTTGGCATTGAAAGTGGTAGCATTTAGATAAGCTCTTCTGGTTTTGTATGTTTTCAGCTTTGCTTTTCCTCCAGCTTCCAGTCTTCATGCTTCTGTACTGTTGAATGCACTTATTGTAAGTCTCTTTGGATAAAAGTGTCTGCTCGATGATCTGTAATGTACATTTTAATCATCTCTTGGCATTAGCTCCATAGCTCGTGCTCAGACAGAAAATTCCAGTAGACTCGTTAGCAGACCTGCTTAAAGGTCAGAAATCCTGTTCCTTGTCGTCTTGAAATAGAATCTGTGCCTTTTCATCCAGCTTGTGCTCCATTGTAGAATGACATATTCATGCTGTGTGGCCATCGTTCACCTTGAATAAGAACAAACATTCTCTGCAGTGATGACGGCTCCTCTCTGACGTAACATGGTCTCAGGCCTGATGCAGGAACAGTCTGTGTAATGACCGGGCAGTCGCTTTAGGTCTGAGGTCCCAACAAACGTTTTCTTGCTTTTGATAGATATTGTAGACTTTATTCAAATCCCGTTCACTGTGTTTGTCTTTTCAGAGGAGGTGTGTGTGAACCCCATGATCTCATACGCCGACAGCTGTAACTGCTCTGACTCCAGTGACATTGAGTTGAGCGACGAGTGGGTCGGGAAGAAGTCACCAAAGTTATCCAGAGGAAACAGGTCAGAAATTATATAAATTCACTTTACACAGGCCTTTGATTCACCACGATAATTCTCATATTTCACATAAGGGGAAGATAACTAAAAAATGTTAACCTTTTTGTTCCAAAGGATGAACATAGAATTAAGAAAATCGCCCAAACTCTCACGGGCCAATCAGGAAGGCCAGCGGTCACCACGGTTACCAACAAAGAAGCCTCCAGTTCGATCTCCCAGTCTGACTCGACGGGAGTTTTCTATGGATGGAATCACAGAGGTATGATATGCTGGGAAGACTGTCTACTATTTAATCTGTATGACCTGTACATAAAATCATACTGGAGTGTCTGCATCAGAATTTTGTCTTGGCCATTACAATAATTTTGTTTTCATAAAAGAATAACTGTTTTATTTTTATATAAATATTTATGAAAAATGAAATAAATTATAATTATACATATTAACAGATCATTTTGTCTTTAGGCTCATACTTATTTTTAATTTTTAATTTTATATCCATTCTCTACGTTTCACAGCACAACTACCTTGCTCAAGTCACATCCAACATATGGGGGACAAAGTTCAAAATTGTCGGACTTGCATCGTTCCTCCCCGCCAACCTGGGAGCAGGTAAATAAATCAATGTTAAAAGCTGCACATACACATGACGTTCATAATTCGGACTAATTTACGAGTCATAATCATTTTTTTCTATCTTTTAGTCATCTATAAGACCAGTTTACTTCATTTGCAACCGAGGCAGATGACGATCTACCTGCCGGAAGTGCGAAAGATTTCTCACGACTTCATGAGCCTGCCCGTGTTCAACCCTAATGTGTTCAGTGAAGATGAGGACGATTTACCAGGTGTGAATAAATAAAAGTACCATATTCTCAGATTTAAGGAAATTATTGTTCATGAGTTTTCACCAACTCTGTATTCTTTGTTTTTATAAAGTTATGGGGCCGTCTGGAGTGGCAGGAGACAATCCTCCCTGTACGGTCAACATTCCCATCGCTCCCATCCACAGCCCAGCTCAGGCCATGTCCCCGACTCAGAGTATCGGCCTGGTTCAGTCTCTCCTGGCCAATCAGAATATTCAGCTCGACGTCTTGACCAACCCCACAGCCACTGCAGTGGTGGCAGCTGCAGCAGCTGCAGCTTCTTCCCCTGTCACCGATCACGGCCAGGATGCAGTTGCAACACCGTACCCAGTGCCAACCAGATACTCAAACCCTGGCCAGGTGATCTTCAACGGGCTGGAGATGGGTCCTCTTCTTCCTGGTACTCTACCACCTCCACCTCACCATCTCCCACCACAGCCTCACCCACAGCGGTCTCATTCGCAGCAGCCTCGCCAACAGTCAAAGCAGTCGCAACAAATGCAGACGCAGCAGCAGCAGCAGCAGCAGCAGAAAATGCATCATCATCAACAACAGCAGCAGCAGCAGCAGCAACAGCAACACCATCATCAGTCGCAGTCACAACAGCAGCAACAACAGCAGCAGCAACAACAGTTACAGCAGCAACATCAACAGCTACAGCAACTGCACCAGCAGCAGCAGGCGCTACATCAACAGCAGCAACAGCATCAACAACAACTGCAGGCTCAGCAGCACCAACAAATGCAGCAAAGTCAACAGCAAGTGACAACCCAACAGCTGCAGCACCAACACCAAATCCAGCAGCAGCAGCAACAGATGCAGATGCAGCATGAGCAGATGCAGCAGCAGCAGCAGCAGATGCAGCAGCAGCAGCAGCAGATCCGGCAACAGATCCAGGAGATGAGGCAGCAGCAGCAGCAGCTCCAGCAGCAGCACCAGCAGATCCAGCAGCAACATCAGCAGATGCAGAGGCAGCACCAGCAGATGCAGCACCAGCTGAAGATGCAGATGTCGCTGCCTCCACCTCCGACTGGCTATCCAACCATTTCCTTACAGCAGATTCATATTCTGCCACAAATTCCTTACCCGTCCAGCGAACTGGGCCTAGACCGGGTTGAGCGTGTGCACACTCTGAAGCCAAGTCTGCCGCGGACTTTACCCCCCTCCTTCAACGACACAGATGGGTCCATCGAGATTCAGATGAGAAAGGTGAATCCTCCTCCTCCATATCCAGGCACTGTAGTCTCTGCAGGCGCAGCTGCAGCTACAGCCGCAGCTGCACCTCAGACTCTTGTCACAAACAGCCCAAGCATCCTGGCACCTGACCCCTGTCTGAAGAAGGATGAGTTCTTGCTTCACCCTATCACTTTGCAGTACCCGACACCTCTGGGGTATGAAAGGATCACAACCTTTGACAGCAGCGGCAACGTGGAGGAGGTTTGTCGGCCACGCAGGCGCCTCATTCGAAACCAAAATGCATACACTGTGCATGGCATCGGAGGCTCTGCCACACTCAAAGTCACCTCCTCTGAGAATAAAAAAGTTCAGCTTCCGTACAGCTCAGCAACACTTAGTCGTCTTTCTGTCCCTCGCTACTCGATACCAAGTGGAGACCCTCCTCCTTACCCTGATCCGGCCAATCAAGTAACTGCCACACTTCCTCCCCCCCAGAGAATGGACAGCAGTCTTATTCATGCCACCCTACGTCGTGACCGCAGGGATGTGGGACTGAAAGTGCCACAGATGATGGAAAGCTCAAGAACCCTTCCAACCAAGGCAAAAATGAACAGTGCATTAGCTCTCTCCTACCAGCAGAGGGTGCCCACTACATTGTACACATGCACACAGTGCAGCAGTAACAGCAGCAGCACCAGTGTCAGTGTCAGTGGAGGTGGAACTACAAGTAGTGGTATTGCAGGTGGCACAGTGGTGAGGCAGGACTTCCCTCCGGGGAAAGGTGCACATCACAGTACGATTATCGTGCACTCCAAGAGCACATCCCCCCTGGCCTCCCAGTCATCGTACAGTCTGCTGGGTGCTGTTGATAACAACCATGACAGAACAGTGTACGTAAACTCTGCCTTTACTGAAGACGAGACTTTAAATCAACAGTGTCACCTTGAAAAATCCGTGCGTCAGCTGACTCTCGGAGATGTCAGTTTGACAGTGAAACGCCCTCCGCCTTACCAGTGGGACTCATCCACGGCCGAGGAGTTTTGGCTCACCCCAGAGCAAACCATGCTAGCTCCTCCACCAGGACCTCATAAACCTCCTCCACTCATCATCAGTCAGGCTCAACACTTGGACATGACACGCCTTCCCTTTGTGCTCACAACGAAACCGCCAGCAAGTCCAAGCACGAGCACCCTCACTTTTCCATCAGGTTACCAGATATCCCTCTCACCTTTTCCTCCAGGTGTGGGTCACAGCGGCCCGCAGCTTCAGACCTTACAGAACCCTCCACCACAATGCTCTCCAAACGAAGTGGTTGCCTCAGGCCCTTTTGCTCAGCAGGATCCCACTTTGGTCTTACCACCAGGTTACCCTCCGAGTCTCGCTAACCTGGCTTGCTGCCCCCTCCCTCCGATGTATCCTGGAGCCAGCTCATGTTCCGGACTTCAGCTGCACCCTGTCAACCTTCACCCCTGGAACCCCTACCCCTGCCCACCACCCATGCAAGACCCTCCTGCACCTCCCCTCCCAACCAAAACCCATCAGATTTTAGAGAAGCCAATTCTCTCCCCACCTCCCCCAACTGCACCACCTCCACCACCTCCTCTCCCGCCCCCCCCTCCACCTACCGAGCTACCACCATCCAAAAGTGCCACAGAGGATTTAACAGAGTCTGCGAACAACTTTCCAGAGCCATCATCCCTGAATGAAAGCCCTGTGCCGCAGGAGTCGGAGCGCTTCAACAAGAAGAGCCGTAAAAGACTGGACAGCAGGGCTGAGGAGGCCAACATGACCACCGTCTCCGAGGGCAAATCCAGAAAGGAAGGGCGAGCCCTGTCCGACTTCAACACTCTCATTTCCAGCCCGAGGCTTGGCAGCAGAGAGAAGAAGAAGCCCAAGGGGCCGAGAGAGCAACTCAATAAAACCAAGAAGATGAGCAGAACAACGAATGAGTTCCAGGATAGTTCCGAGAGCGAGCCAGAGCTGTTCATTAGCGGCGATGAGCTCATGAACCAGAACCAGAGTAGTAAGAAGAGTTGGAAGAACAAGCGCAGCCAGCGTATGGCGAGTGAGCTGGAGGAGATTAAATGTCGTAAGGCGAATGAAAGAGAGGACCGCAGTTTAGGCAGCCAAGGATTTGTCTACGTCATGGCCAATAAACAACCATTGTGGAACGAAGCCACGCAGGTCTACCAGCTGGACTTCGGAGGACGAGTCACGCAGGAGTCCGCAAAGAATTTTCAGATCGAGTTAGATGGTCGACAGGTAAAGAAATAATCTGATTTCATGGTTGAAATCATTGGTTGTGACATTAAAACAATCGGTAACTAAGTGATACTATTGAGGTTATTTTTAGTTGGTCACAAAATTGATGTAAATATCTCATATTTGAAAGTGGGATCATTATTTTTCAGTTTTTATCATATTCAATAAAAGTCGAGAAGATAATGAGTGCATTAATTGATAATTCAATTATAATTAGTGGTAGATTAATCAACAATAAATGTTCTCTCACTTTTTAGGTGATGCAGTTCGGGCGGATTGATGGCAACGCTTACATCTTGGATTTCCAGTATCCTTTCTCAGCAGTGCAGGCATTTGCTGTGGCCTTGGCCAATGTGACTCAAAGGCTGAAGTGAAAAGGTTTATTTTGTGTTGGTGCAAAAGAATCCAAAAGAAGCTGCAGTGTGAGTCCCTGTACACATCTCAGTGCGGGGCTGCACCTGCCAAAGTGTCAGTGTTGCAGGGGAAGAGATTATTACACGAGTTGCACATGCAGATAATTTACAGGAATCTATTAAAGGTAAAGTCTGGGTCATTGTTGATGAAAATTATATCAGTACATCCATAACTTCTATTTCATGTATTGAATGTATTCATTTTATTCTTTAAATTATATTTTCTGGAATTAAAAAATACTCTCTATCATTGGATAAAAAGTACTTTATTAGTACTTGATTGATTGATTCAAGTTACTTCTAAATCAGCCTCCATGGTTTAAGACATCCTCCCACTTTTTAAATACTCACCAATTAATCTCAATGTATGACAAATCAATAATCATTTAACGTACCTTTGTGGAGTTTATACATAAAATAGTAGATTTTCTAAGGTGCAGCAACATTCAAATTTGCAAATAAAATTTTACAAAGCCATATCGTATCTAATTGAAACACTGCACTGAAGTTCAAAGTAATTTAAAGAAAATTAAGAATGAGGTTTTAATGTGAGTATAAACCTATTGTTATTGCTGTTTGAATACACATTGTCTTTTTATTCTTTATTCAAATCCATTTTTTTCTGTTGAACATGTATTAGAATAATATACTGATTAGACATACTCATTTTATAAGTTGCAACTATGCATCTGAACTCAGTTGAATAGGGCTAACTGGGTACAGTTACCCATAGCTCTTATATGTTCTATCCATGTTACTTCTATGAAGTTGTGCAATGGACATATTAAATACATGTTCTTTTGGCCACAATACTGAAAATCACCATTCACAGCCAGTATAGTTTTTCATGTGTGAAATTTAAACACAATTTCTTTATCCACCCTCCCATTAGAATGGCTGGAATTTGTCAGAGGTGGTAAATAGTAAATCTACATGTGCCAAATAAAGAATGTGTTTGACTGAAACAAAGTCAGTTGGAAAAAATGGTATAAAATGGTCTAACATAGATCTCATCGCCAAACAGAATCACTTACCGACTGTTACGATTGAGATTCTCTCAGTCGGTCTCTCCTGACCGGCTCTGTGTTGTTTTCATGGGGTGTTTATGATGCTGCTTGAAAACTGCATTTGAATGTGAAGTACAGTAGTTTTGCCTCCTTGGAAGTCAGTGCTGCTTTAGATAGAGCTTGTGTGCAGTGATGCTACCTACATAGGACTGATGTTATATTTGCAAAAGAAAATATATAGCGCTGCTTGCACTCTGTATTTAGTAAGTGACCTGACATCATCATTATATGCATAGAAATAAATGTGCTTATATGTTGTTACTTTTAGTAATTTTCAATTTTTTTTTCTGTAACATGGATTTTTTTTGATGTTACACTTGTAGAAAATAAGAAGGAGAACAATAAACTTGCAAAGATGTATAATACCACTTATTCATAAATTGATAAGATCAACAGCTAGTATGAGATTCATGTAGAATTGGTGCTAATGTAAAAAGAAACACACGTGGAAATATCAGGACGTTTGTTATTAGAAGGTTATTTTGAGGAAAGTATTTTGAAAGAGGCACAAGAAACGTTTTAGTGCGTAGAGTTTTCTTTTAAGAGCTTTTCATCCAATGCAGACGTCAGCGATGGTGTGTGTCCTTTTTCAGCAATACTGCCGAATGAATAGTTGGTTGCCTGATTATTTTTTTCTCTCTTATTTCGTGAAGGAAACAAAAATGTTGCGACCATAGGTTGACAAGGACCTATAGGCTGAGCATAATCTAATAAAAAAAACTCTATTGTTCCAATTGTTTTTGTTGTTGCTCTTTTTTACTGTGATGTAAAGTTAAAGGTCCCAGAACAGCACAGCACAGGATTCCTGCTTCAGTCTGTTTGTTGTGCGATGATAAAGGGATCAGTTGTTGAATAGTGTGATAGTTCAGTAAGAGTACTTTTACCGATTGGATTAGTACTCATAGGGGCAACATGGGCTTATTTAGCCAGCTGTAAAACAGCAGCGTTGTCGCAGTTTGTGTCTTTTTTCCCAGATTGTGCCGGAAGAACCCTGTCAAATAAAATGATGATGATCTGAACAAAGAAAGAATCGTAGAGGACCACAGAGACAGTGCCACCCTCCCTGTGCTCAGATTAGTGCAGGAGCTCTCATAAGATTAAATCAGTTGCATCACCGCAGGGTAATTCTGAAAACACCACAAATTGTATTATTAAATTACACAAAGGGCACACTTGCATAAAGTTTATTGTCTGATTAGCTTTTGGGAAATGAATCTTGAAAATACAGGGACCTGGACGATTGAGAATCTTCACTGATGTGTCCTGTGTTTGTCCTATTTTTTTGTCTCTCCTTGCCGACAGTATCCCAAAATGTGATAAAAGATTTGTGTGAAATTACACCCATACACATACATGTATCTACTCACACATCCATCTATCTGTCTATCTATTTATTTGACAGAAAGTCAAAAAATCAATAATTAAAAACTGATATATTTGAATGAAGGGACAGAATGAGCATGTATGTCAAGTACACCTTGATTTATCTTCTATTCATTCACACACACACACACACACACACACGCATTACTATGTACATTGCTCTCTGTGTGTCTGCATAAATATATATATATGGTGTGTGTGTGTGTGTGTGTGTGTGTGTGTGTGTGTGTGATGAGATAATATAAAAGTTTCAGTTTTCAATTTTCTATTAAGATCCTTTGATTATTGTGAGACGTGATTCAATAAAGTGAATTAGATAATAAATGTTACTAATGCTCAGATGTGTCCTGATTGAATATAATAGTTATATGAACTTCCTGTTATCTAATGCTGACCGCTATAGAGCCACCGGAAGGCGGCGCTCTTATTTTGAAGGCGTGTTATGGAGGCACATGTGTCAGTGGAGGAGGTGTAGAGTGGAGACTTGACTTCATGGCGGGGGTCTGTCACTCAGGATTCGGTCCGTGACGCTGAGGGTTCACCGTGGAGCAGAAGACTCTTCTTCTCCCGCGTCATGTGAACGACTTCATCATCTGAACTTGCAGCTGAGGCCCAGAGGAGTCACCATGGAGCCGCTCGACGGTCCCGAGCGAACCGGTCAGTGAGCTTCTGAACGTGTTGACCCCAGGAGCGAGAGTCACTCCAACATCAGCAGCTGAGTTCTCCTGAACTTCTTGTTGTCCTGAACTCCTCTCTCTGTGTGTGTGTGTGTGTGTGTGTCCTCCTCGTGTTTGTGTCCCGTCAGAGCCTCCAGCCGCTGAACACGCTGCCTCCAGCAGCAGCATGACGAGGAGACAGGTCCTCACGTTGATATCCATGGCATCCGTCAACTTCAGCTCCATGATGTGTTACTCTATATTAGGCCCCTTCTTCCCCACAGAGGTAAGATGGAAGAGATACAAACACCGCAGCTTTCTCATTAATGGAAATCTTATGTTGAGCTCATCAAGCTGTGGCGAAGTATTCAACAACTATCATTTTATGGTAGTTAATCATTAGTGCTGCATTAGACTCACTGGTGTGAAGTCAGGTCATGAGTTTTGTTATGCAACAGATTTGATCTTATATCATATTTGCTGCCTTTCATTTGTACGTTAATTGATTTTCTATAATCAGCCGTAAAGTTCAGTTAATGCCAAAAATATTGTTTTTGTATTTGCAATTCGATATGATTCTGTTGCCAGAAATGCAGATGACACAAATGACGTGTAAAGTCCAAGTTTTACAAAGTAAAACTAACGTGAAATGGGTTTAAAAAATGTAAACATGCTTTCCCAAAGTAAAAGAATATAGACATGAAACGGTGTAGATTTGTTGTATCGTGATTATAGCGACTATACTTATCAGTTGTTAGTTATTGCGGTCTTGTTAACATGTGCTGGAAGAACATACATAATAATAATAATATCAGCTGTGCAATATTAGGATTAAAGAAGAAAGGTTAAGTTGGTTTTACATTGAAAACTTGCTGTAATGCAGATTTAAATGAAACCTTGTAGAAGTAAATCAAACAAAAACAACACAACCATGATGAACAAAGTATTGTGCATCTAAGAACAATACAACCACAAGTAAACAAATCCGATAACATTACAAAACAAGCCCAGTTACGTTGCAGTGGACAAGAAGGTCGACAATTTTTGCAGACGTTGAACCCAAACGTCTCTGAGAGTCAGGACAAAAAGGCGTGAACCGATGCTTATCTTCACCTGCAGAAAAGTTTGGCACAGTGATAGTGAGGCCGAGGGTCACCCCCCCCCGTAGACAGAGCCCATGATGTGATATGCAAACTCACCAATCAGACATGGAATGAATGTGAGAGAATCATGTGCCAGATGTGGAAGTTTCCCTGCAGGCGTGTGAATGATCGTCTCTGTGTTGCTCGCTGCAGAGACGTTTCAGACACCGTCAGCAGGTTTAATGACAACTGATTAGCACATGACATAACACACAGGTCTGCCATTAATACGTCAGCTTTATTTACGACTGCATAATTCAACATCTGTTGTCTGATTCACCTTCCACTGCAGGTCCTGCACGATGAGACATTTGAATTTAGTTTATCCTTTCTATTTATTATTGGTTCATGTTTTGGATTCACGCAACAAGTACTTAAGTACTTAAAGCTTTCCGCTTGTCCAGGGAAGAACCCTGGATCCAGATCAGGAGGCAGATCCAGGAATTTAACTGCGAGTCGTGTTTTTCAACATCTTTGTCTTTCAACAAACAGGCATGTTTAAAGGGATTGATATTCATGAGTGCGGGAAATTAATTATTTGGTTGTTGGTACAGATCCGAACAAAAATCTTAATCTAGTGAATTTAACTGTGTCCGATAACCGTTCGTACTGAGACCTGTTTGAGACACTGCACAAATATGTCTACGCAGGCGGTGAAGAAAGGAGCCAGTCAAACAGTCATCGGCCTCATATTTGGCTGCTACGCTGTCAGCAATTTATTTGGTTCATTGGTAATGGGAAGATATGTGAGTATATCCCATCATTATCAGATTGGGTTATTTTCAGTGTGACGTGCTGCAGAGTAACTGACTCATTCTTTGTCGCCTCAGATCGTCCAGATTGGTGCAAAGTTCATGCTCCTTGCAGGACTGTTTTTGTCGTCAGGCTGCACCATTGTGTTTGGGTAAGTGTGAACGTCTTCCTTTGAACCAGCGGCTTGCATCGGATCCAATCTTTATGCATTCGTCATTAGCCGCTCGTCTCTCTCCCAGATTACTCGACCGGGTTCCTGCGGGATCTGCCTTCATCACCATGTGCTTTGTAGTGAGGTCCATCGAGGCTGTGGGCTTTGCCGCTGTCATGACCTCCTCTTTTGCGGTGACGGCGAAAATATTCCCAAACAATGTGGCGACTGTTTTGGTGAGTGAAGACAACCCATGTCTGTCTGGTATGTTGTTTAGACATAAGAATCATCAGCGGACAAAACAAGCCTCATTGTCAGGGTTGTTGTTTTGGAGCTCTCTTTTTCACCGGTATGAGAAAAATAAAAATATGAAATCTTTTGGGGAACAATTCTGTATATTTAAAAGCTCTGTGTGTGTAATTCTTCATTTCCCTCTCTTCTCAGGGTAGTTTGGAGATTTTCACAGGACTCGGTCTCATTATGGGGCCTCCAGTGGGAGGATGGTTCTATCAGTCGTTTGGATATGAGGTCCCTTTTCTGCTTCTCGGATGTTTCCTGTTGATCATGGTTCCTTTCAACCTTTACATCTTACCAAACATAGGTAGCCGCTTTAAGATTTCAGTAAATTACTTTTAAGTCATTTCTTTCAGAACCTTGAGTTGTGCTTCTCTCCGCAGTTGCAGACCCGTCAAAGGATTCCTTCTTTCGGCTTCTCTCCCACGTGAAAATAGTCCTCATCTGCTATGTGATATTCACTCTCAGCGCAGGTTTGGGTTTCCTGGACGCCACGTTGTCCCTGTTTGCTATCAACATGGTAATTTTCATCCTTATAGTAAAGTCACTTTTCATGCAGTTGTAAAGATTTGGTGTGTGAAACTGTTTCCTGCTTGTTGTTTAGTTTAGTCTGTCTCCCGGCCACGTGGGACTCATCATGCTAGGTTTGTCGTTGCCGTACTGTCTGGCATCACCACTGATGGGTTATTTCACTGATAAATATCCTGTGAGTATGAATTCAACATCTTAAAGTGTCATTTATCTATAATTTTAAACTTAAGTAACATTCCTGTGTGTGTGTGTGTGTGTGTGTGTGTGTGTGTGTGTGTGTGTGTG